TAAAAGGAGCGACAAAAGATAATTCAGATAATTTTACTAATGGAACCAGCTTTAGAACTAAACACAGTGTAATTCACATGCTTTTACTATTATCACATTTACCCCAAACTTCAAACATCCTTAAGAACATGTTGCAGTTTTTAATACGATCTTTTTTTCAATTTCTACCGCATTTTGGTGAAAGTGGCAGAAATTGAAAAACTAAAGCCAAAAGGAGATTGTATTAAAAATGTAAAAAAAGGTTCTATACAAACTTCTATTTCCTCTAACTTAGAGAAGGCCAGTCATGATGCATTTCAAAAGCTTATAAATTAGGGCTGTACCAGAATGGGTTTTTCAATTCTGGACAAAACCAGATTTGCCAGAATTATAAATAAGAATACCGGCCGGAATTCCAGCCGGAATGAGAATTATATTTGTTATTTTTTACTTTCAATATTAAATTAGATTGCACCTTATCATCTTAGCTATATAATATATATTTAACCTATTTCATTCATTTTGTTCTTGTTTAAATAATTTTATTTTTATTAGTTTTTATTTGTTGTAAATTTACAACTGCATAAATTTTTTTAACTGCATTTTTATTTATTTTTAAATTTAATTCTTTATTTCTTATTTTAATTATTTATTTTAATTATTTCTAATTTAATTATTTATTCTAATTTTCCATTTAGATTAAAATATAAATTTTTACTGTATTTGTACTGCATCCTATAGTTTTTAACTGTTTAAACTTACATTTGAAAATCTAAAAATGTCTTCTCCTTCGTTTGTTTGGAGATATTTTAAAACAAATGATGCTACAGATACATCACCAGAATGTAAATTATGCCACAAAAATGTTAAACGTGGTAGTACCCCAAAAACATTTAGCACAACGCCACTTCATATGCATTTAAAAATTTATTATAGAGACATATGATGTACCAGAATGGGTTTTTCAATTCCGGACAAAACCGGATTTGCCAGAATTATAAATAAGAATACCGGCCGGAATTCCAGCCGGAATGAGCATTATATTTATGTTATTTTTTACTTTCAATATTAAATTAGGTTGCACCTCATCATCTTAGCTATATAATATATATTTACCCTATTTCATTCATTTTGTTCTTGTTTAAATAATTTTATTTTTATTAGTTTTTATTTGTTGTAAATTTACAACTGCATAAATTTTTTTAACTGCATTTTTATTTATTTTTAAATTTAATTCTTTATTTCTTATTTTAATTATTTATTTTAATTATATCTAATTTAATTATTTATTTTAATTTTCCATTTAGATATAAATATAAATTTTTACTGTATTTGTACTGCATCCTATAGTTTTTAACTATTTAAACTTACATTTGAAAATCTAAAAATGTCTTCTCCTTTGTTTGTTTGGAGATATTTTAAAACAAATGATGCTACAGATACATCACCAGAATGTAAATTATGCCACAAAAATGTTAAACGTGGTAGTACCCCAAAAACATTTAGCACAATGGCACTTTATATGCATTTAAAAATATATCATAGAGACATATGATGAGGTTAAACAAGAGGGAAAAAAATCAAAAGCTGAGACACCACAAGGAAAATTTGAAGCAATTAAATCACAGACACAAACTAGCATAGATGATTTTGTTCCTAAAAAAATTTTGGAATATAAAGGACTATTGCTCCTCTAAAATTAATCAAAGAATAATAAATTTTATTGCGATAGACAATCAACCTTTTTCTGTAGTTGAAGATCAGGGGTTCATTGAATTGATTGCAACCACAATATCTAATTCCAAGAAGAAAGTTTTTAAGGAAACAATGCTACCAGCATCATATGAAAAATTAAAAACTGTAGCATTTAATGACATTTCTGCAGTTGATCATATTTTGTTTACAACAGATATTTGGACAAATACTCATAGTAATGATGCATTTATATCATTGGCTGCGCATTGGATAACAGATAATTTATTAGAAAAGATTGTGTTTTACACTGTAAGCATTTTCCAGGGTCCCACACTGGAATAAATATTGTTAATTTATTTGATCCGATGCTAGTTGATTGGAATATTTCCCAAAAGAAAATACATATTGGCCTTCGTGCTTATAACATGCAACTTGGAATTGACTTGACGGAGTCCTCAGGCATCTCATGTTTTATTCATCAACTGCAGCTAGTTATCAAAGACGCCCTTTTTGACCAGGTTGGAGTATACGACATGATAAAAAAATACAGAAGCATCTGCACTCATTTTAACCATTCAAGTTTGGCTTGCACCAAATTAAAAAAAATGCAGAAAGAATTAAATTCACAAATCTCAACACCTTTATTACCAATCCAAGATGTTCTGACAAGATGGAATAGTACATATTTAATATTAGATCGAATTGAAACTCTCAAAAGATCTATACAACTTTACACATCAGACCATCCTCATTTAGTAAATTTAATATTAACTTCAAGTGAATGGGAGTTGATAGAAAATGTATTGGGACCATTTTTTATGATTATTGATACAGTCAGTAAATCAAAATCAATGCTGTCATCAGTAATTAGCCATATTTTAGCATTGTATAATTTTCTTGGAAGCCTTGCAGATGATTCTAGAGTCCAATCAATGAAGAAGATGCTAAAAGAGACTATTGAAAAAAGATTTATGAGTAATGTTTAATTAAAAGGTCACTTTAATGTACTAATGAGTAAAGTACATGTTTTGTCCACAGATGTTGATTCAAGGCATAAACTGTCACTTTTCTCTGATGAGCAAAAACATTTGGCTAAAAGTTGGCTTTTGTCTGAGATAAAGGAACAAATAAATAAACAAAAAGAGATTAATATGAATAATATGTCAGAATCAGATTCATCTTCCTCTAATAGTTTTAACTCCTCACCAACCAATAAAGGTTGTCAGCCATCTACATCAGCTTTATATGCATCAAATTTAAAAATGACAATCACAAAAAATTTTCTTAATTGCTATGAGCCAGAAGAAGAAAGAAAAAACTAGAAAAAAGAAAAGGAAAATTATTGGAATAACAGATGAGGAGATAAAAAAAGAAGTACATTTTTTTATGGCAAAGAAAGGAATAGGTAAACTAGAAAATGAAGAAGCAGTATTCAAATGGTGGAGCGCTAATAAGGATTACTATCCTTGTGTATGATGTATAGCAAGAAAACTTCTGTCAGCCCCTGTTTCATCTGTTTGTTCAGAGAGACTGTTCTCAGAGGCAGGTAACATTTTTGAGGAAAAAAGAGCTAGTTTGTTGCCAAAAACTGGAGAGCAACTCTTATTTTTGTACCATATTATTCCTAAATTTCCAGAAATCCTTAATTAATTGATTAGTGCCCACTAATTAATTTGTAATTAGTGTAAATAATTGTATTATATATAAAATATTAACATGTTGCGTCAGAAGGAATGTTGTGGGCGCGTCGTATATATTATATTGTACATAACGTTTATACTGTTTATTATACTCTCAGGGGTATTTGCAAATGTATATATATTGAGTAAAGATATTCAGAAAGACAGTAAGAAAAAACAAATATATATTTATTATTACAAGCTATTTTGGCAATGAGTATCGTTATAAAGTTTGCGGATCTGGTATCACAATACGATGGTTCGGGTGATTTTTCAGAATGGATACAGAAATTGGAACTGGTAGCAAAACTTCAAAAAATTGACGAGCTGCCTGTGGTGCTCCCCTTATTTCTTTCTGGTGGGGCGTTTGCCGTTTATCAAGACCTAAGTGATAAGATAAAAGAAGACTACAATGAAGTGAAAACTGCACTGACTACTGCCTTCTCTGTTTCTCCGCTAATAGTATATGAAGAGTTCGTAAATCGCCGTCTTAAGGAGAATAAGTCAGTTGACGTATATGCGCAGAATGGGAAGTGTCCATCCTGTTTTGTTGCGCTTACAGGCCATCTGGAAATGGAATTGTTGAACATCACCATTGCACAATCAAGAGCATGGCAGCAAGAAGTGGCAAAGATCCGTTAAAAAGGGTATATTGGTAAAACGTGGCTCCCAGAAAAAATGGCGAGGAAACATCGCTTCCCTACAAAGCTATATTTTCCTATAAGTGGAAACCACACACAATTTTTGCCAAAACTAACGAGGAAATTCTCCACAACTACACACAAGGACAAGAAGTATTTGTAAAACCACCTGATTCAAAATGTACTAGCGAATGGAATAGAGGAAGAGTCTCAGATGAAGGACGAGGAGTTTCGGTATCAATCAATGAAATTTCCGAGACACATGTAGGACATCCGACCAGCTCCCATTGTAGCTGACTTGTCTACGAGAGAACCGGAAGAACCCACCGCGAACAACGTGAATCTCAGAAGATCGACGCGTGCGCAGAAGTTTCCGAATATGCCGACTTTGTGATCTAGAGATCAAGGGGTGTTTTAATTAGTGTAAATAATTGTATTATATATAAATTATTACCGTGTTACATCAGAAGGAATGTTGTAGGCACGTTGTATATATTATATTCTACATAACATTTATACTGTTTATTATACTCTCAAGGGTATAAGCAAATGTATATATATTGAGTGAAGATATTCAGAAAGACAGGAAGAAAAAACAAATATATATTTATTATTACATAATTAAATAAGGATTTCTGGAAATTTAGTAGTATTATGTTTCCAGAAATAAAATTTCATCGTGTTCATTTATAAATTTGTATTTTTTACCTAGGTTATGCTATTGCTAGTTATTTTTTACGAAGGTGTAGCTATTGTTGGTTATTTTTTACTAATAAAGTTAAATGTTTTATTGCTAATTATTTTTTTAATAAAGTTCATAAAAATTCCGGCATTCCGGCTTTAATTATTGTAATTCCGGCTGGAACTAAAATGAACTGAATATCACAAACATGGAATTCCGGTATATATATATATATATATATATATATATATATATATATATATATATATATATATATTACAAAATATTGTTATATATTGTAACACAAGTAATAAAAATTCTTACCTGTCGGACACCAACACAATTGCGATTTAGTTAAATATACATCTGTTATTTGATTATCTATTTTCATATTATTTTGCAAAATTATATCATTTGAATCATCAATATTTTTTATTGTATTTTCTATGTAAGCTTCAGTTGAATCATCCATATTTTCTTTAGTAGTTTCTATATTAGCTGTATATAACCTGTTGTCACAGGAGAATGAAGTATCTGCATGCATTTTAGAATCACTTTCAAGAAAAAATATGATAAATTACTAAATTACTAAGCTTATACAATTTTTTTTACTTTTGTTTTTAATAACCTTTTTTAAAAGCCTTTTATTTTTCTACTAGAAAAATAGAATTGAAAATTTAATAAAAACAATCTTTAATTAAATCATAGAAATAAAAAATTCTTTTTAGCAATGAGAAGAATTTTAGCAATGACATCATTAAGTAAATTTAATCCTATTATTAAAAAATGGAATAATTAGCAAAAAGTAAAAATTTTAAAAGCATTACATATATGATCATAACTAAATAATTGAAAACTTATATTCTTGATATAAAAAAAATAAAACAATTTAAATTGTTGAATTTTGTAACTAATAAAGATATTTCAAGTATGACAAAAAAAAAAAGTTTATTATTTTGACAGCAAGCTTGCAGCTGCAGTATCCATAAACCAGTGAACATTTTTGTGAATTGGTTTGACTAAAGAAGCAGGAATACTTCTAGTTGGTGGATTTTCTACTATTTCTTTTACTTTTTCAGCTTTACTCTCACCAGTTACAACAAACAAAACACAACTAGCATTATTCACAACATTTAAAGTAAATGTTATTCTCTGTGGTGGTGGTTTTGGAGAATCATCAAGGTAGCTTACCCATTTAGATTCTTCATTTAACAGTTCGTGGTTAGGAAATAAGGAGCAAATATGCCCGTCAGGACCCATTCCCAGTACAAGAAGATCAAAACAAGGGAATCCATCTGTAACAAACACGGTTTTCATCTGTTCTTCATAATCTAATGCTGCTTCCTCTAAACTGCTTAACTTATTCATTTTGAAAACGTTTTCTTGCAAAATAGAACTATGTTTAACAATTAATCCATCATATATAGATTTAAAATTACTATCTGGGTCACTTAAATCTACATAACGCTCATCACAAATAAAAATTTTCCACTTTGACCAATCAACTGACTCTGAAAACTCAGCTTGTTTAAAACACTCACAAACCATTGTTGCAGCACTTCCTCCAGAAAATCCAACAGCAAAATACCCATGATCAGAAATTGCTTTTGATGAACATTCTATTAAAAATTTTGCAAAAGCAAAACTCAAATCAGTTGTTGATGATTTAACATGTAATTTCATTTTTGTTATTTAATTAAATTCACTTTTTCTATAATAAAATATCATTATTTGAAACATTATAAACAAATAAGAAAACTATATTAAAATAATCTCTTAAATGTGCTTTAAAATAATTAAAAAAAAAAACAATGTGTAAATATATATATATACACACACACACACACACACACACACACACACACAGATATATATATATATATATATATATATATATATATATATATATATATATATATATATATATATATATATATATATATATATATATATATATATATATATATATATATATATATATATATATATATGTATATATATATATATATATATATATATATATATATATAATATTTGCATTTAGTTACATTTTGATTGTATAAGTTACAACTTTTATTATTGCCAGAAACGCACATTAAAAATTTAAGATACGCATTAAAAATTTAAACACGCATTACGTATCGTTGTTTTTTCTTTGTTTTTGTTGTTTTTTTTATTTAATTTTTATTTAATACCTAATTCCTCTACGACATATAGAAAAATTATGTAACTATTGACCACTTTTTATTCACGCATATATTCGCGTATATATTCACAAAATTGCGCGGAGTTGCACTTGCGCCCAAATATGAGGGTAAATAAACCATGTTCTTGCGGGCAAATACTCCATGTTTTTAAGTTCATAGAGCAAAATGGATTTTTATTCTACGTTTAAAATATAGAGTTTTATAATACGTATATATACTACGTGAGAGCAAAAAAAGTTCTTGTTCTTAAGTTTAACTTATGAATATGGAATTTTTGACCGAACGTATTTTTTTAGTCGTAGCCTTTAAGTAAGCTAAAAGCGTATTATAGCGGGTTATAAGTATTATAGCGGGTTTCCGATTTCCGATTGTTTTTATCAGTTTTTAATAATCACTTTCTTGGGCGTTGCGTATAAATTAATAGAGATATAGTATTCTATTTAATTTCATTTTTAATTTTATGGTCACTTTCGTTACCGCAGAAAATTTGATAATTTACCATTCGTGTATTTTGAGTTGTATAAGATTGTATTTAATTGCAACAGGAGTTAGAAAAGATTCGCAAACACAGGCATTAATATTGCATTTAACATCAAAAAATCTAAAAGAATTATACAATACTTTTAAAAATTTACAAAAGGGGATTTAGACCCAGGCGCCAAGCTAAAAGGGACGCCAGTTAACCCGTTGTGTTGTTGTTGTTGTTGTTGTTGTTGTTGTTGTTGTTGTTGTTGTTGTTGTTGTTGTTGTTGTTGCTGCTGTTGTTGTTATTGTTGCTGTTGTTGTTGTGTTTTTCTACAATAATTAGAAAACATTTAAACGAATGGCAATGTGAAATCTCTCGGCGTTAATTTTTGTCCAAAAATCTTTCAGCGCGAATTGTTCGCGCGGCTATTAAAACTAAATGTCGTGTAGACAGGAATATTTTTACGTTTGGTTCAGTCTAAACTAAAATATGCAGTTAAGTAACCAAGGATCATGGCTTAATTGGTCTGAAGTTGAATGTTTTTATGTGTTAATATGTTGAAATAGGAGTTATATTTTTTGTTCATAAAAGAATATATGTATTTTTACACAATCTTCGTATTATTTTAATCATAATAAATAAAAAAAAGTCTACAAAAAGATGCTCGATAAACCACTATGTTAACTCTTCTATACACACAGTTTTACATTTGAAATTGATACTTACATTAATATCTTTCTTTTTAGCTTGAGATTTTGAAAGTTAATGAATATATCTTGAGATATCTTATTTTTTCTTATAAAAATTGACATTTTTGATTTTCAAAAAGTCTTAAAACCTAAAATAATGAATTAACTTTAAAATCTCTAACTAAATATGGACCTAACACACTAAGGACCATTTGTTGAATTTTTTTATAAATGAAGTAAAAGATAAGTATGAGTTTATCTCTGATGTTTCTATGTGACTTTTTAACTAATTTTCAGTAAACTGGCAGCCATTTTTAAAAAATATTTTTTTATTATTTGATTAAAAAACAAACAATTTTTTAAGACTTTATCTTAAATGTTAAATGTAAATGTTATAGAATTTATATTTATTTCACGCTTAACATTAAAAAAAAAAGTTTTTAATTTTATATTTGAAAAAATATATTTTATAAAAATAATATTTATTATTAGGTATATATATATATATATATATATATATATATATATATATATATATATATATATATATATATATATATATAAAACAGTATAAAAAAATGTTTACAAATATCTTAACTTGCAACGTGTGACAGGTTACACATCAGTGTTGTCCATCTTTAATCGAGAAATGCATTCAGAATATTTTATGAAGTAAGTTTATGTTTATTTTACATTATTGTGTTATTAGAATATTTAAACACACTGAATATTACTTTTTATTTTATTTGGCTGAGGTAAGCAGGCTTTGAGATGAAAAAAAAAATGCTTGAAAGTTTTTGAAGTTCCAAGTTTTATCTTTTTATCGTTAATATTAGTAATTATTTTTACTTTTATATTTTTGTTTTCTGTTTTACTCCATATTTGTGAATTTCAAAGTTATGTTTATTAAATTTTAAATTTGTCTGGATTTTATTCTGTATTTTTTTTTTTTTGTATACTTGTATTGTAACTTCATTAAATATTTTTATGAAGGATAAATATTTTACTTGGTTACATATTATTAGCTTATTATTAAGTTGATAAACAAGTTTATTATTGATTACAACGGTGTTATTGAAATTATTGAAAGACCTCAAGTAATGTAAAGACTGGTACTACTGTGAATAAAATGTGTAAACAGCTACAAAAAAGTAATTTAGGAATTATAATTAGTATATTCAAACAGCTATTTGTTACATTAAATAAGTAATGAACTAAAGTGTTCACAAGTTTTCTATTTTTACAGATATAAATGTTTTATATTATTGATTTTTTATACAAATGTTGGTGTATATCTTAAAAAACTGTGTTTCTCTCATTTATATTCATTAATATCCATTTATATGTTGCATGTTCAAAAACCAAAACAATTTGTAAGGTTGTTTTTCAAAGTTGATAAACATCTGGTAAGGTATCAGATATACTTTGTATGAGGTTATAGTAATCTGATATAAGGTATTAGCTTATTCAAAACCTTGATGTTTGTGTTAAGGTTACCTAATTAAAGCCATGATCCAAGTAGGGATGTGGAGTATTAAAAGGACTCAGGATTTGTATGTCACAAAAAGATTACTTTAAGTGTTGTGAATTTCAAAATAGGTATCAGAGATGTAATGACTTGCAAGGTTGCTCAGTTTTATGACTTTTTATTAAAAAAATTATGCTGACAAACAGAAAAAAGAATGTACAAGCAACAAATTTTTAGGCTTCATTTTATTTCTGAAAATCCTTTTGCATTTTGATTATATCTTAATTTTTATATAACCTTCATAAAAAAGATAAGATATTCAAAATTTATTTCTATTAGTTTTTGAAAATATTACCTGTAAAAAATATCAATAAGATGGCATCTTTCCTTATGTTATGCTATTTCTTTTTTTTAATAAATTAAGGTGTAGATATATATATAGTAGTTCTATTGGTTAAGGTTAAGTTATTATATTCGTTTAAGAATAAATTATTCTATTAGTTTAAGATTAAGTTATGGTTACCTATTTAATCCACAATACATCTAAAGCTTGGCTGTTCAAAAAGCTATGCAAATTATAGTGTGTGTAGATTTATAAAATAGAATTTAAAAATTGGATAAAAATAGAACATGTATGATAAATTGATAGGACTGTAGTAAAATTTTATTTTTGTTTTTTAGGTATTGGCAGGCTGTACCTGACGTCTTACTTTCTTGCAACGAAATCAAAAGAACTACAAACCAATTAAATTAATTTTTATAGCAGCATTTTCTTTGAAGAATTTTATTTACTTATCAGATTACTTGTATTTCATAATTTCTTTAAATTATTTTTGGAGATTTTTGGATTTAAATTTTGGTGTTATACAAAATTTTAAGTTTAAAAAATTATTTTACATATAGATTCTTAGATTTTTAAAAATTAATTTTTATTCAGAAGTACAATTATAATTGGAGTGTCCAGTTTTTGTAATATTTTTTCTGCAAATATCAATTTGATATTATGTTATCAATGTGAAAGTATAACCTCAAGATATAATTTAAAAAATGGTAGGATGAGGTACATAAACATACTCTTTGTTTTCATTTAAGTTTAGCGCAAAATGTCTGTACCGATAGAAACCACTCGCAAAATCTTTTGATTGGTCTTTTAAAATTTTACTGTTATTTTTAGATGGTTTCTACTTACTATGACAGTAAGTGTGAAAACACGCGCAAACTGGCAATCGGGAGATTTTTGAACTAAAGTTAACGCCGTGTCTGCTTAGGTTTGTATCAAACTTTAGTTCTTGGAATACATTGCGCGTGAAAAAAAAATTTAATTTTAAATTCTATTATTATAACTAGTTATAAACTATTTTTATGAAAAAAAGGGGATTTAGTTGTAATTAAATTAGACGGAACCGGCGTATTCCGTAAGCCCCTAAACAGTTAGCCATACTAGCTTGTGTTTAACTGCGCTGAAGATGATGTGCTGTGGTAATTATAATAGTTGCTAATTAAATTTCTCTTTAAAACAGTCGACACTAATAGCACTGACACTTTCGTTAGGTAGTACTCCCCTGGATCAGTCGCTGAAGATAAGTGTTGCTTTGATTAAATAAGTATTTGGTTAAATAAGTTGATTGATAAATAATGAGTTTTAATTTGTTCTATAGTTGATAATTAACTTATAAACTGGTATAATTAAAAATGATTTTACAAATTTTATAAACACCCGTAATACGCGTTGTTTGTAAATAAAAATTTAAAAAAAAACCGCGTATAGAAAAGCCTAGAAACTACTTTAAAATAGAAAAGCCTAAAAAATGACGTAATTCGAAAAATAATATTAAATTAGCGTATTAATATTATCTGGCATATCTTTTTTAACTATCGAAAGCGCGCT